TTTGTGAATGATTTTCTTGTTCTGCTTTTCGGCCAGACCGGTGCTACAGCAGCAAGGTTGGTGCTATAGCACAGTAATTCTCCGAGCGTAATGAAAGCTGACATTATATCAAACACAATAAAGACTCTCAGTTGATGGAGATCATTCCTGAACACACAAACCCATTAAACTGAAAAAAAAAAATATCAATTCTACACACTCTCCAGCCAAAAGAAAATGTGATTTGTTATCTAAAAGGGGGTTATAAACACAGCTTCAATGCACTTTCTGTGCTGTAATGAAAACTGGGTTTGAAATGGCAAGACGACTGCAAATTAGAGTATTTGATTTTATTTTCCAACTTTTTAGGTAAACCTTCTACAAGGGCAAGTGCAAGGTTACGGTGACAATCTTTCTGTTCTCAGCCGATAAGTAGGATCTGTAATTAAAGGAGGAGAAAAAATGAAAGGAGGATAAGGAGCTGGTGTTCGCCCTTCTGATGCTGCTTTGAACACAAAACCCTGCCTGCGTGGCTGTGCCCAGCCCACGGGAACAGCTGCCAGAGCCCACTCACGGCACGGCACGGCACGGCACGGCACGGCACGGCACGGCACGGCACGGCACGGCACGGCACGGCACTGTACAGCCGCTGCTCCCCTGCTGACACACACTTGGCACTGCTGGCTGCAGCAGCAGGATGGGACAGCAGGATCCTGCACATGGAGGGATGAGGCACCCAGGGCTGTATGGCTGTGGTCAGGCACCCAGCCACGTGGTCATGTCTCCCTGCTTTATCCCACACCTTTCCTGGGCAGTCAGGAGCACAGTCTCTGTTATTGCTCCTGTCCATCCCCATTTGGCAAACAGCAATCCCCTTTTCCCTGGAGTTTTGTTTCTAATGGAGCTTGAAATTATCTGGGCTTTGTTATTCCTCATGTGCTTGCAGGCAGGGGTTACCGATGGAGGCAGCAGCGTGGGGCTGTCGAGCACTCATGATCCCCCTGCCACCTCCACAAATGTCACCACACCCCAAAACCACCCAGTGGTTAAACCCTGTCCCCAGCAGCTCCTACATCCACAGCTCAATGTATAGCTATTTTTCTTTTCCAAGTGAAAAGAGCCTGCTGGGCTCTGACCCTTCAAAAGGGCCTTTCCAACATCAAAAGGTGGGGAGAGCTGGGAGGCAGAGGGGCAGCAGGCAGGGGAAAAGAGTAGCTTCCCAGTATAGTAATGGAAAATGCAGTGAGGAAGGAGACTGGGAGAAAAACAACAGTAATAAACATTTTATGAAGCAGAAAATGGCTTATAAAGAAGTCAACTTTTAAAGGCAATTTATATAATCCTGCCAGGCGCACATAAATGTGGGGATGGATATCTGCAGCACTGGAGTGTCCCTTAAAGGCACAAATAGCTCTGGCAGCCCCAGCAGACTGACACGAGGTGATGATGATGATGATGATGATGATGATGGTGACGTTGCCCTGGGATGCATTCCGTGGCTGGCAGTGCAGATCTGCACCTCTGACAGCATCCCCCAGGTCAGCACAGCCCCCACTCCCACACACTATGCGAGGGGGGGACACCTGAGACTCTGCTGATGCTGCTGGGATGGGGCTGGAGGTCTGGAAAAGAACTCAAGGAAAACTCGGGAGGAAAGCAGAGCACACAAATGGAAAAGAACTGGGAGAACATGGAGCTGGCTGGGATGTCTGACAGGCCACATGGCAGCTTGTCAGCGAGGATGGACCCAAAGAATGGCAGCAAAAAATACAACATGACCTGTCAGCATTGTTGTAGGTACAAACATTCTGCAGGTCCCATGCCCAAGCAGGGCAGCAGAGGATGGAAACCTGAAAACTGCATTGCAGGGTGGGCTGGAGCCACAGCTTCCTCTGTTTACTGCTGGGGATGGTCATCACAGGGCGGGCTCAGAACCACTGCCACGGCTGGGGGATAGTTCTAGGGACATCCAGAGCAGGGGGACACCCAGCTCTGATGTGCCTTGAAGGACAAACCCTCATGGCTCTGCATGGAGTGGAGCCAGACTGTCCCAGTGGAACTCTGAATGGAAGCCTGCAGGCCAGAAGATTCTCACCGAATAAATTGGCCAGGCCACTGCAAACTGGGAATTTTCTGTGGTTTCCTACCATACCAGTGCCAGGTGGTTGCTGTATCCCTTGGTGGGAGCCCACTCTGGCAAGAGGACCCAGCTTTCACCTTTCCACAGCTCCACCAGCCTTCTCCAGTGGGTGAATGTGCATCCCTGAGAAACCTTCATTGTGCAGGCAGGGAAGGGCATGATCTCCCCCCACAGTCTGCCCACATCCCTGCCCACCATGCCACTCTGAGCTGCCACCCAGCCCTGGAGTAGAACAAGCTCGAAGGAACTCATGAGGGTGCTCAGATTATGGGTGACCTTGGGGCCATGGCTACTTTTGACCAAGGAAAATGGTCCAATGTCCAGAACTGATCCGGGGACACAGCCCCAGCTTGGCACAGCTGGTAGACATGAGGGCCTGAGGGTGGACAAGCACAAGTAGCAGGGATGAAGCAGGACAGGATGAAGGGATTGTTTAGAGAACAGGGAGATACTTTGCAAAGCCTCCTGAGGTGAGAGGCTGAACTCAGCTCCAGAAAGGCCAGCATGGCTGGTCTGTAGCTAGAAACACCAGAAAACAGCAAGGAAAAAGGAACTTTCCCCGTAGAGATGGATCGTGAGTGATGGTTGGCAGCAGCTCCCAGCTGCTCAGGCTCTTGCTCCTGCTTCATTTTCCCCTGGACTTCCATAGCAACCCATCTGCAGTGAGGTTTAATGGGGCTGCCATTAGCACTAATGCAGTGCAAACACTCAGCATCTGCCGGCGCCTTTGGATGGAAACACAAAAATAACCGCGCTCGCCGCAATCTGTCATCGACTCCGGCGCGGGGTTAGGACGCGACACGCTGGGAGAGGAGGGGAGAGCTGCAGCCAGGAGGAACGAGCTGAGCTGAGCTGCTCGGTGGGAAGGGAGGAGAGGAGGAGCTGGGATGCCGTGCTGCCGCCTTTCCTGCCTGCTGCCCGTGCCAGCACCGGCACAAAGCTGGGGGCAGCTGCAGAGCCAGGGTCAGCAGTGCTGACACACAGATCTGACCGTGCCCGGCCACTGCATGGATGAAGGGGCAGAAAAAGGAGGCTCAACCCCGGCAATGAGATGTACAAAGCCTCTTCATCGCTCTGCTCTGCTCAGGAGCTAGGGCTGCTGCAGGCAGGGCTGAGGCAGGCAGGGCTGATGCCCAGCACCCTGGGGGCTGTGCACAGAGCTGGACCAGTCCATCAAGTGTCCCAGCCAGGCCTGAGCTGTCCTGATAAAGCTGCGCCGAGCTCTGCGGTGACGCATCGCTGCACATTGTTTCTGGGTGACTCGCTCCTAATTACCTTGATTAAGTGGTTGCAAACAGTGCTATTAAAAATATTTTTTTTCCATGAAAGTGGATTTCTGAAAGGTTTGTGCCGTGAATGGCAAAATGAGCCAAGAGCTCCCCAGCGCTGTAGCTTTTCCCAGCATGTTTTGGGTCCTGCTGTTATTCCCCTGGCAGTGGAAGTCAGCCAGGTCTGGTTGGAGAAGGAGCTCTTTGGGGCTGAAAAGAGCCCCTGCAGCAGGAGCCCATCCCTGCATGCCAGAGGATGAGCAGAAGCCCCAAGCACTGCTACAAAATGCAGTGACCTTGTACCACCTCTGCCTGCCCTGCACGTGTCCCGGTCACAAGGCATCCAACCCTGGGTGCCAGCCCAGCATGGGTTCCACGGGGCAACCACAAGATCCCTGGGGTACCTGCAGTCAAGCTTCAGGTGCTGCTCAGGGATGTGTGCTGGTCAGGATATGTTTCCTGGCCCCAAAGGACACATGAGACTGGGTCAACACTAGGGATGAAGATGCCTGAAGCTTGCCCTGCCCTTCTCTGAGCTCTCCCTTGGAGCCCCGAGCCAAGGTCCTGGTGTGGCACCGGCACTGGCATCAGCAGGTGCCTGCAGCAAATCTCATTATTCTCTTCACCTCCTCTCCTCTCTCCCACTTCCTCTTGGGAAGATGTGACAGCAATTCACCAGTACTCTCATGCACACAGGAAGACCCCTGTGAGCTCCTCCTGCTCCTTGGATGCCCGTGGGACACAGAATCAGCCACCCGTGTCCACCCCACACTGGCCACATGGCAAATGAAAGCCAAGCAGGTCAAACCCTTGCCTTCTCTTTGCTCCTCCCACCTCACCCCTCCACAACAGACTCTGGTGACCATCAGCTGTGGCAGGAAGGTCTGTGTGAGCAGCAGCAGCAGCTCAGACTGTGAAATACCCTCCCAACCAGCCTGGCAGTGGGGTGTCCCCAGGCTGTCCCCTCAGAGGGTGACAGGGTTCCTCAGGGCTGGGCGGGGTGCGGCCCTACCCAAGAGGAAGGGGCTGGATGGCTCAGGAGTATTTTTTTACTGCAGACTCCATTCGCGCTGGGAGAAAAACAATCTTTCCTTCCTTTTGTATTATGCTTATAATTTGAGAGCATTTCCAGACAGAATCCTTCAGGTTCCCGCTGAGTGCTATCACCGCCAGAATTACAAAGTCAAATGCAATCATTAAACCCGCGTCTTCCCTCTCCCAGCCCAGATTGCTCCTTCCCAGGAACAGCCCCCACACTGCTGGCATGTGCCACCGACGAGCCACCGCTGCTGTCACCCCGTGCGAGGCCCCCCTCAGCACCGAACGCAGTGGCTGCCGGAGATGGGGCGAGTAGGAGTCCCCTCAGCCCCCCGGCCCTCAGAGCCGAGCTGTCACTTCGACCTTCACCTCCTGCCTCTCCTCACGGCGTGTGCGGGCTGAGGCGAGGCTGCAAACGAGCTCCAAATCGCTTCATTTGCTCTCGTTAGCCGGGGCCTGCCGAGCCAGCGGCGACTCACGGCGGGGGCCACGAGGTGGGCGAGGAGGGACGGGACGGTGACTCCGGTGCCACAGCAAGGCCGGCAGGGAAGGGGCGGGAGCGCACGGAGCCTTACCCGGATGTTGTCCTGCCAGTGGTGAGCCTTCTGGAATTTCTCCGCCGCGTTGGCAAGTCTCTGCAAAACAAGTGGGAGACGAGAAGTGAGCCTAGGGAAAGCAAGAGGACGCAGGCATCGCCCACAGCAGCCCAGGGCGGTGGGTGCCACCTCAACAGCCAGCATCCCTGTCTGGGGGCTCCTGCGGCACCGTGCCGCCCCTCTGCTGCACCGGCAAGGGGAGACCCTGCATGGTGATGGCCCGGGACTGAGCTTTTGCAGGGTGTGGGCAGCAGCACCCTGGAAGGGTGTTCCAGGGATAGGGAGCCAGTGGTTCCTGCCGGCTCCTGCCTTTCCTGGAGCAAGCCAGTATCTCCAGAGGAATCACTGCCACTTGAAGTCCCAGAGCTGAGCCTCTGCAGCTTGGCAGCTGTCGGCATCCCGCCGGAGCAGGGCAGGCTCTTGTTGCACAGGGCAAGGGCTGAACCCAGGTCTCTGTACTGACAGCCCCCAGCTCTGTGCAGAGCAGGGCAGACTCTTCAAAAATGCCTGAAAACCCTCTCAAAGTTCTGGGGCCCCAAGGTGCACTGTGCTGCCCACTCAGATTTAACCCCTTTTTACACCCATGCCCACACTGAGGTGACCAGAGGAACCAGGATTTGGCAGAAGCAGGATGGGATGATGCTCAGCACCTGGGCACCCTCACTGGATCCTCAGCCATGAGACCCCTCACCAGCACAGAGGGTGCAGCAGGGCAAGGCTGGAGACTGGGCAGCCCCTGGGGTACTGCAGTGCCTGGAAGAAGCTGCAATCTGTCCTTTTGTGGAATCAAAGGGGATAGACAGGGCAAGAGCTGCAGGCTTTCTACAGGATCCTGTCTGCATCAGTAAGAAAATAAAGCCAAGAGCAAAACGACCATGTTTCCCTCCATCCCTCGACCAGGTTTGTGGGCCTGGGGAGCTGCCTGCCAGGTCTGTACAGGCAGCTCAGTGTCCTGAGCCAGCCCACAGAGCCAAGGGCCACCCAGACCCCTGGGTCTGCTCACTCACTGCTAACAGGAACACGGGGTTTATGTCTGGTCATGCCATACTCAGCACAGCCTGCTCCCCACCAGCCATCAGCTGTACAAGTTTCCCAGGGAATACACGCTGCGAGGTCTCAGCTCCAGGGGCCAATCTGTACAGGGCTAACAGGCCATGAGGCTTCCGAGGCTGTTGCCATCCCTAGAGGGCTCCCTAGAGAGTTAGTGGGAGACAGACCAAGCAAACATGTACCTTACAGCACAGGCTCCTGCCTCACCTGCTCCTCATTTCCCTGCGGACATATTTCCCTAGAGGGGCACGGACATGCTCTGCTCCATGTAAGTGCTGCTGGCAGCCAGAGCATGGGGAGAGAGGTGAGCCCTGGCTGTTTTCAGATGCTGAATTGTCTGGGAGGAGGAAGGCACGCTGACAATGGAGTGACATCTAAATAAAACCCCAAATCACCACCTGGGCAGCACCTCAGAGATTCACATAACGAACACAAGATTCCCAGTGCTAGTACAAACATGACTTCCATGCTGTGAACCACAAATCCCAGGATGAAAAAGCACTCCTTTGCTCATCAGGGTTGTGGCAGGCTGGTGGGAGCCCACAGGGGCAGCAGTGAAGTCCAGCAATATCCCTGGGAAATTATTTCCTCAGGGCCTGAACAGTGGCCGGCTATAAAAACACACACACATACAAGCCTTGGGCACAGCCACAGGTCACAGCTGCTGTCCCCACTGTCACCAGTTTCTCCATCACTCCCATCAACCCACAAGGATGCAAAATGTCTCAGCCCTTCCAAATGGATGCTCCAAATGGAAAGGAAGCCCCAGGTGCCAGTGTCCCCATTGCCCCTGCAGGAGAGTGGCAGCCCAGCCCTGGCAGGGTGGCTTGAGCAGGGCAGTGGCAGCTGATGCTGTATTTCTGTGAGTGTGGTGAAGCACAGGCACTCAAAAGTAAAGTGAAAGACATCACAGATCTGGCCCTCCCCAGCCTGAAAATGCAGCTTGTTCTTATCAGATGCAGGGAAACACGAATCCATCACTGCATAATCTCAACACATACTGGCCAAAACTTTCCTGTTTAATCTTTTCTCTTTCTCTTAATCTTGATTTCCAAATCAAAGTGCATGCTTTCAGTGGCCAGCATCCAAGGGGAAAGATCAGCTATCAGCTGAACATTGAAGCAAAATCCTTATGGCTCCAGTGGCAGACAGAAGGGAATGAGAAACAACACGTGGCTGCACAGAAAAGCCAAGTGATATGAATTTTCAGGGCAGTTTTTCATGATCTCACCTGCACAGCCACATCCCTGCCCCCAAGAGCTGCCTAGAAAATCCGTGGCCCAATTGTGTACCTCATCACCCCCAAGCTTTTGTGCTCTGTTTATATCTTGAGATGGCTGATTAAAGACAAGCATTTATTCTGAGTCGTGTTTAAGGCAGTGGTGATGAAATATGCATTTTTCTATACTTGATAAGAGTGTGTTTGTTTATTATGGGCTGGGGTAAGATTTATGGACATCTTTAACTATTCATCGCCTCGTGCAAAGTGCCTGGAGGACTGCAAATGGTGTAGTAAGGGACGGCTACACCCAGGAACGACACCTCGACAGAAGATATTTTTCCTCTGGAAAATGTCAATTTGTCAAAGTCAAACCAGACACCATTTTGGTTAAAAAAGAAAAAAAGAAAAAGGAAATCCAGATGTTCTTGTTTGATAAATAGCACGTTGCAGGAATGGGGGAGCCCGCAGCAGGGTGGCACAGCCACAGCAGGGTGCTGTGCTGGCTCCTGGCCACCACTGGATATTCACCCAGGAGAAGTGTCCCCAGAGCCTGCCAGCTGTTGCTCCTGGAGCATTTTTCTCACTAAAGACATTTCAGTCCCACAAATAAGATGGTGACTGGGAGGAGAGAGAGGCCAAGCAGGCAGCCAGCCATCCTTCCTCTGTAACAGGGGATCCTCTGCAGGGGACAGACCTGGAGTGATGGCATTTGGGGCTCCCATGGGAGCAGTCCCATCCTGTCACGTCCCTGACTGGTGCTAGAGGGAGCCCATCCCGCCCGGAGATGGGCTGTTGTCATGAACAGGGTGGATGGTTGCTGGATTCTGGACCCTCCAAAACGGTGCCAATAACAAGGGTCCCCCAAGGGGGCTGTCTGGGACAGCAGGACCTAGAGTTGTTTTTTAGGGCAGGGTTTGTTGCTGGTCCCACAAACCCCACTGACGGCTCCCCAGGGAAGGTGACTGGTCTGCCCGGAGCCACACACTGCTGCAGGACATCCCCATTAATGCCAAATGAGTTCATCATGAATAATGTTATTGTGATCGATACAGCTCAAGGATTATTTCTAATCCTTAATAATGATTAAACCATTATTTTTCAAGTGTTACAGATCAATCAGACCAGCTCAAGGTGTGCTGCGTGCAGGGACTGTGAGATGCCCAGAAGGCAGGCAGTGCACTGGAGAGCCTGACAGGGTACAGGGCAGTCACCAAAACCTCTCCAGATTTCAGACCTGGGGCTGGAAATTGTGGGGTTCAAGCAGCAATAAAAAATAGAGGAATTACCAAAAATAAAGCATGGGTGTGAAATACCTGCAGATTTCCAGAAGGCTGTGGTGCAGAGACTGCCCTGGCACTTTAAGGAGCATGGTTCTTTCTCCAGAAGTCACCCAGGGCTAAGGACAGGAGATTTAGAGGCTGAAAACACTGAATTGAAACAACTCTGAAGGTCATGAAAGGCCAGCAGGAGATTTGCAAGGGATTGGTATCTGGAGATCCTGACAGTGGGGTGTGTGAGGGGGAAGGTGCTGCATGGGCTTATCGTGCCCTGGACTCATTTGTATTCCACATGGAGCTCCTCTCTGCCTCGCTGCTCACCAGGGCAGATCTGTCAGGAGCTCCCTGCTCAGCACACCACCTCGCCTGGGATTAAAGAGCCTTGGGGACGCCATGGACTCGGGATGGGCAGGTGGCAGCAAAGGTGGCATGGCTGGGCACACGGCCTCCCTCCCAAACGATGGGCAGGAAAGGAAAAGGCCAGCAAGGTGTGTGACCATCTGTCTGCCCAGAGGATGGCAACTCCAGACACATGGCTGCTGCTTTTCCCTGCCTTTGCTCCAGGACCTTGCTGTTCAGCCTGATCCCCCACAAGCTGACTCAGCCCACCCTGAGCATGGCTCACCCATTTGTGCTCACCCCCAGCAGCACCCACTGGGGACAGCTGGTCTGATGCCCTGTAGCTGCTGTGAGTGTGGTGGTGGGGAATGCTTGGAGAACCAGAGCTGGCAGAGGCAGAGACCACAGCCTCCTCTCTTGTGGAGGGGACCATCTCTGCCTGGCATCCCCACTGCTTGAGGGGCCAGCATGCAGGAGGATTGTCTCTGATGCAGCAGACGCTCAAGGCTGATGCTCACCTTCTTCTTGCCACCCCTTCTCCCCCATCACACTTGGAGCTATCCTGCATTGCTCTGATATTTTTGCACAGACTTTCCAAAGCACATTGGTCCAATGATTTGCTAAATCTCTTCTCTCAGCCCCACCATGGCAATAAGCATGCCCTGGCTGCTCCTGCCTCAGTCAGATCAGTAGGTTTAACTTGGGAAGCAGCAGAGCAGAGCCTGGGGAGGCCAAAGACCAAGGCTGGATTTATAAAACAGGATTACAGCAAACACTCTGCAGAAGGAGACTGAGCAGCCCTGTGTAACAGCAGCTATGCCCGCCCTGTGCCCAAGCCTCCACAGAGGTGCCCCAAGCCTACACAGATGCTGGGGATGCTCCTCAGGCAGCCCAGGATGACGTTCCTGGCTTCTCCCCACAACCAGCGTGGAAGCTGCAGCCACGGCCCATCACACAGCAGCTGTGTGTGCCTACGACTGTGCTCCATTAGCCACCCCTGCTAAGCCTTCATTTAATTCCCTCAGTGAGGCTCTTAGCACCCTCATCACAGCGCCTTGCCAAGGCTCTGAAGTGCATTAACCCCCCGCAGCCCAGCACACAGCTGGGAGGGGAGATCTTTGCTGGAGATTCAAACAGCCCTGTGCTACCAG